AGGAGTATATCTACCTCAGGTAAATGTTCAACTCATATGCCTGTCTTTTGTTTGGCTGGAAGCCACAGGTGTGGGTTCAGTTCTAGACCTGAAGTGCAGCTAGGGGCCATAGTCTCAGTGGTTCCACCAGGCTCTATCAGACCAGCAAACCTGGTCCCATTTTTTTTTCAAATGTTTTTGAGTTTTGATCCACATTCTTTTCCCTCTCTATCCAGGATCTCCTACATAGATCCCCCTCTGGGTGGTTGACAGTGGTAGCTGGGCACCATCTAGTTCTTCTGGTCTCATAGTTGTATAGGCTGCAGATCGCATGGTGTACCAGTCACTAGGACAAATTGTTTCCATGAATCTTTGTTTTTTTTCATTCTTCTTTGCTCTGGACGAGGAGAGACCTATCATTGAATCTAGATGGCAGCTTGCTAGCTTTTTAAGATCCCAGTCGCTACTCGCCAAAGTAGGAGGTGGAGCAGTGTTTTGTGTAGTATGTTATGGCAATCGAGCTTGATGTTCCCTGTGACTGTGGTCCCGAGCCCACAGGTTCAACTACTCGCTCCCTCTGGGTAGCTGGCTGTGACCAAGAAATGACTATAAACTTGTCCTTTGTCAGCTCTACTATACACCTGGGAATTCTTACAAAACATACAAATACACTTGTAGAACCATTGTCTGCCAGCCCTATACGTGGTCTTGGGTACACTCCCTGCTGCATAGACATACCTAATAGTTCAGCCTGCCCACCCATCTGTCCACTTGTATACCCATGTTTGCCTTCACTGACAATGCAGTGCTGTATGTGCAAAAGGGTTCATCTTTGTTGTCTGCACTTCCCATGTACCTCTCTATGTCTTTCTCTTCTTCAGTGCCACCATGTTGATCACTCACATTTGGTACATTGCCTTTCTTCTCACCCAAATCAATACTTATCTCTACTTGTCTAATAATAGTGTTCTCTCCTTTCTTCTCCCACCCCTGGTAACCAACAAAGAAAATTTCCTTCCATATATAAACCTTTCCTTGAGTTTTACAATAATGGACTAATACAATATTTGTCCTTTTGTGATTGACTTATTTCACTCAGCATAATGTCCTCCAAGTTCATCCACGTTACGCGGTGTTTTGCAGAGTCTAGGCTATTCTTTAGTGTTGCATAGTATTCCATTGTGTGTATGTACCATAGTTTGGTTATCTATTCCTCTGCTGATGGACATCTAGGTTGTTTCCATCTTTTGGCTATTGTAAATAGTGCTGTGATGAACATGGGTGTGGATATATCTGTTCTTGTTACGGCTCTCACTTCTTTAGGGTATATACCTAGTAATGGAATGGCTGGGTCAAATGGTATTTCTAGTTCCAACTTTTGAAGGTATCGCCATACTGCTTTCAACAACGGTTGTACCATTTTACAGTCCCAACAGCAGTGTAGGAGAGTCCCCCCATCTCCACAACCTCGCCAGCATTTGTTATTTTCTGTCTTGTTGAACTTTGCTACTAGTGCTGGAGCAAGATGGTATCTCATTGTTGTTTTGATTTGCATCT